GGGGGATGATCAGAGGCCGAGCTGCATGGATGCAGTGGAGGCCACTGCTGAGGCACTTGAAGAGCAGGCTGCAGAGTAGGCCTGTCTGCCCTGCGGGGGAGAGTCCTTGTGGTGCTAGAGTCCAGGAAGGACATGGGGAATGTAGGAGGTCGGAGGGGACTGTCCCTTGACAGCTGCAGCAGAGGAAATGGAGAGGCAGCCTGTTCAATGCAAGAATCTGCAGGACTTGACAACAAATTGGACACAGGAGATAGAGGTGTGAGGGTGACAGTTCTCATGTAAAATTGAGTTACACACTCCCAAGTTTCTCTAGGTCAGTTGTTCTCAATGTGGGGTGCCAGGACCAGCAGCACCTGGAAACTTGTTAGAAATGCAGATTCTTAGGCGCACCTCAGATCTGCTGAATCTGAAACTGGGTGGGCCCAGCCCTGTTCTAACAAGCCCTCCGTGGGAGTCTGATGCACCCTGAAGTCTGAGGACCATTGATTGCCAAGGGTGGTAGAAGTTCCATTCAGTCATTCCCTTTCCGATGGCTCCAGTCAGGCCAGAGGGGGACGTGGAAACACCCTCACATTCCCTTCCCCTTCCTCCCACACAGATTCCGCCAGTGCCCCGGATCTTGGTGAAAGCTCCAGTGGCCACGGTGGAGGTGGCAGCCCCGGGCTCAGAGCGCGGAGCTGTGCTGACCAGAGGGTAAGTGCCTTGGGCTCTGCCGCCTGCAGGGCGCCCACCCTGTCCAGGCCCCGCTGCACAGGAGTAACAGGCGGTCTGCTTTACAGGCCCCCGGAGACGCTAAAACAAAAACCCATGCCAGCCATACATTACCTTTTAATGAGGGCGGTAATCCTGGGTCTCCGCAGCGCCTCATCAACTGTTTCTCTAGGATTAAGCTGAAGTGTTTTCCATGGTTTCCACTTCATTAGCGCCATGCTTCACTTGGAGAAGTGTCATTTGGGAAGGATTTTGGTTAATTAGATGAATATAATCACAGGCCACATTCAGAACCTCCCATAGGCACGCTAATGTCAGAAATGCCTCCAAATGAGCTTAGGGGCCCCTGCTTGCAGGTAAAGAAGTGCGTAAAGTAGGAAGGTATCTAACTAAACTCATAACCCCAGTGTTACTGTTAACCCTGATCCAGAACCAGCAGCCGGGGTAGCAGGAGCGGGCAGTCCCCCAGCACCCCCGCCACCCTCAGCGGTACAGGAAGACCTCAGGGGCCTTCAGTTCAATGCTCTGGACCCCGCTCTGTTTTCTAGGCTGGCTTTGCCACCACCTCTCCTCAGCTTCAGGCAAGTTCTTCAGCCCTCCGTATCGTCGTCTATTTCAAAACACAATGAACAGAAAAACGAGAAAGATAGGAGTGCCCATCTTGGGGGGTTATTGAGAAAACTGAATGAGACGATGTGGGCAGAGCTTAGCACGAACTGCTGTTGACCTTTCTCAGGAAATTTACAATCTGGTTGTTGGGAAGCCACGTACTTTGGAAAGTGGTTGATGAATGACCGTGGGATAAACTACCAACCCGAATGGTGCACACCTTGAAAGCTGCAGCAGTCACAGCAGGGCAGACCAGTGTGGTGCACTTCTGGATGACAGAAAGCCATC